GGTCGACGATCTCTCTCAGATCTCCTGACATTCTCCTCTGTGTCCTTTTCATCCTCTTTCTCCTCAGTATCCCTTGGAGTGGATCCATTATTTCCTTCCAGTGTTTCCATTTCCTCGTTCCTTTTCTCAAATTCTGTACCATTAGTATTATCCTTCTCGTTACTATCTGACGAGTCTGAAGGAACAGTGGGTTGCTCATCTTGAATACCTGTATATTCACTCTCAGGTAAGTCATTTTGAATTAGAGCTGTCGTACTGGCTGGTTCAGTTGATGTGACTTCATCGGTGGATAAGTGCTCTGTGTCACCCTGATGGGATTTAGCCTCTATGGGCATCAAGGGACTACTTGAAGTATTTTTTGACACATCTAGTAGGCTGTCTAAATCAGATTGATTGTCATCTTTTTGGGCTCCCACAGAATTCTCATCAGGACCACTGCCTGGATATTCATCACTCTGAGGATTCTGGATATTGATCATGGGTAAATCAGGTTGTTCAGATAGTTCACAGACTGTGTGGGTAGGGGAGCTTAACCAAACTGGAATGATTATATCATTTTCCTCATCAGAGGAAACTTCTTCCTCTACAGTTGGTTTTGCACGAGTTCCTGGTCTGCATGGTACTGCTTTTTGTACAGACTCACTGTTTCCTCCCTCAGATAGGTATCCACATGGTAGTAATAGGTCTCTATGCAGTGTCCTTAGTGGACCATCCTTGTTCTCCYGCTTAACTGTGTAAACTGGAAGGGTTCCTGCTCGACTCACCACCACATGAACAGTGAGTTCCCACTTATCTGAGATCTTATGTTTGCCTCGGATGCGGACATTCCTGACCAACACCCGATCTCCAGCTTCCAAGTCTGAGGCAGTTACTTGCCTGTCATACCTAGTTTTGTTCTTTCGAGCTATTCCTGCAGCTTTTTCCATAGCTAACTTGTAGCTGTCTTGGAGACGGGACTTAAGGTTTTTCACATACTCCGAATGAGATAAATGTTGACTCTCATGTACAGGTAAGTTGAATGCAAGGTCAACTGGCAGTCGGGGTTGACGCCCAAACATCAGTTCATATGGTGTGAAGCCAGTCACCTCATTCCTGGTGCAGTTGTAAGCGTGGACCAGGGGTCTTACATGATCACGCCAACATGGCTTGTCTTGGTTTTGGAGAGTGCCCAACATATCAAGTAGGGTACGATTAAAACGCTCCACCGGGTTGCCCCTGGGATGGTATGGGGTTGTCCTAACCTTGTGAATACCAGCTACCCGACAGAGGTCCTTGATTGTGCGGGACTCAAAGTCTGGACCCTGGTCACTATGTAACTTTTCTGGGATACCATAGTGCACCATAAAGTTCTCCCATAGYCATTTTGCTACTGTGCGGGCCTTTTGGTTAGGTGTTGGGATGGCGACCGCAAACTTAGTAAAGTGATCTGTGATCACAAGTATGTCTTTTGTCCCACTTTTGTCAYCTTCTAAAGACAGGAAGTCCATACAGAGGAGTTCGAGAGGCCTTGTAGTGTGGATGTTAACCATGGGAGCGGCTTTTTCAGGCTGCGCTTTCCTCCTCACACACCTGCCACATGTCTTCACTTTCCTTTCCACATCCACTGCCATCCTTGGCCAATAGAATCTAGTCCTTACGAGATCAAGTGTCCTGTCGACACCCATGTGACCCATATGATCATGCAGACTGGTGAGGACTGTGTCACGAAGCTCAGCTGGGAGTACAAGCTGGTGTATTATCTGGGACCCCACTTGGCGACGCCTGTACAGAATGTTGTTGAAAAACACAAGGCGATTCAGTTCTCGGAGAAGAAGTGGAAGGTCAGGAAGTTGATTGCGCAGGGTGTGAGGTGGTGAATCCCCCTGCTCTATCTGAGAGATAACATGCTTTATACACTGATCAGCTCTTTGTTTGTCAGCTAATTCAGCTTCAGTGAGGTGGGGAACGGTGGGAAGG